TTTTTATACCCTCCCTGTCTCCCCTCCCTTCATTCTTCCTAAGGCACAGCAACCAGGCTCCTTCTCCACCATTAGAAAGCTGATGGAGAATGTCCACCCTTCTCCACATGTGGAGCCTCCTGGCGACAGTCATAAAGTTATTTCTAATGATGGTTGCAATTGCCTTTTTTGTAATTTGAATCTACAGTGGTACCTCGGGTTACAAACACTTCAGGTTACAGACTCCGCTAACCCGGAAGTAGTACCTCGGGTTAAGAACTTTACCTCAGGATGAGGACAGAAATCACGCGCCAGCGGCGGGGCGGCAACAGAAGGCCCCATTAGCTAAAGTAGTACCTCATGTTAAGAATGGTTTCAGGTTAAGAACGGACCTTCAGAACGAATTAAGTTCATAACCCGAGGTACCACTGTACTGATTCAGAGGTTGGTGCCTGGTAGTGTGGATTAGGGCCAACTTAAAGGGTTAGGTACCAGCAAACGACAAATGAACCCTGACTGCCCATCACATCTGGATCCAATCCGGGTGCAGGTGCAGTTTTGGGACTGAATCATCCTAGGTTGCCTTGATCCTATATGAGCTGTTAGCATTTTTTTGCTAACACTGACCACCTCAAATGCGACATGGCCTGATTCAGCCAACAGAAATTTAAGCACCATGTAAATTTTATTGATTTAAATAGGACAAAAGCATAGACATTGTCAAGTGTAGCATATTTCATACTGTACCCTATGTCTAGAATAAAGTAACAAATTATTTGGCTAAATTAGCAGGGTTGTATCTCTGGTATTTTGTTTTCAATGAATGGTTAACATTTCTTCTATTAATTCCACAGGTAACAAATGAAATAGTGAGGCAGATGATGGAAATGGAAGGAATGTACAGTTTGGATAAACCTGGAGATTTTACTACGATTGTTGATGTGCAGTTAATAGCAGCAATGATTCACCCAGGAGGCGGTCGAAATGATATCCCACAGCGCTTAAAAAGGCAGTTTACGGTTTTTAACTGCACTCTGCCAACCAATGCATCCATAGACAAAATCTTTGGTATATGTTTTTCTAGTACTTTCAAATTGAATTTGTTTTATATTAATTCTCTAGGTTGCCCCTGTGTAGAATGTAAATTCCTTTCTCTCTTTCTTAAAGCAACAGAGATTCTAAAAAACAATGACTTAAAAAACCCCCGCCAAGTATTACAGACGTGACATAAAACTACAGTTAAGGCCATTCTGTATAAAATCATTTGAATGCCTAGGCAAACAGAAAAGTATTAACTTATTTATTTGTTATATAGATTTTATGCTATGTTCTTCCTTCAAGATAGTAGCACTGGAGTGTTCACAACATAAAATATATTTTAATATTCATTCATTTCTACTCTGTTGCTTCCTATGAAACATCTCAAAGCTATCTATCTAATTTCATGTATACAAACAATTTCTTCATATGTCTATTGGTTCAAATAGGTATCAAAATGAGATCCGTGATTGTGAGATTTATGCTCAAAAGTAGTCAGGGCAGTGAGATCGTCAGACCACAAAGTAGTGGATGGGGGCGAGAGCTCACCCTCCCAGTCTTGAAGTATACGATAACTCTCTTGGCAGTCTTAAGGGCTTGCACGATCCGCTTTCATTGCCCATCTGTTCATCAGTTTCGTATAAAAAGACTGTTTCAAGTCCAACAGATAAAGACTGCGATAAACACTTAAAAGTTACATTGAAAGACAGAGGGTCTTCAACAGGCACTGATACAACACTAGAGATGGCGCCTGTCTGATACGTAATGGGAAATATAAACACATACAAAAAGGCAGTCGAAAATCAAAAACACTTGAAACGCAAGCAGCATCTAGCTTGGCACCTCAAACTATTTTTTTCCATTAATTTTTTATTAAATTTCTGTTTATTAGTGAAAATAAATGTTCTAGAGATATAGTGCCACTACCATAAGCATGTTTCTACATTAAATAATTTGTTATGAGCTAGATTTTTGCTTGTACAATAAGTTATAACATAAGTCATTTATAATGTCCACTGCTTAGTATCTTCCTTCTTTCTGAAGCCGTATCTTTGCTCTGCTGCATTTTGTAGTCAAATCAATTCATCAGCTGAACTTAGTGTTAGTAATCCCTTACAACCAAAGGAGAGACCAGTGAAGATTACAAACACATACACGCTGCAATGAAATGCTTGACTTCTCTTTGATTTCTCTCACATCAAAACAGTAGCTATTGACTTGTCTAACGTTAAGTACAGCTGTAGATTGTTCCTGGAGATGTATGTTTAGCATTCAGCCCTTCATGAGAATATATAATTTTGGAGTCATGTTAAGGTTATCAATATACTGTTATTTTTCAGGGATAATTGGCTGTGGATACTTTCATTCTTGTAGACATTTCAAGCCTGAAGTATGTGAAATGATACCAAAATTAGTGTCAGCAGGCAGAATCTTGTGGCAGTGGACTAAGGTAAAGATGAACATAATTATTTGAAAAATCTTCCCTATTTATGGGTTTAACACAGGATTAAAATCTGCTCATATATTGCCTGTAGTGTATAGGTTCTGTAAGTTTTCCATGGTTGGAAGGAATGGAGTTGACTGGGGAAGAAATTATCTGTGCATCCATTCTTAGTTCTAGATGAGCAGATCATAGAATTGTAGAGTTGGAAGGCACCCCAAGAGTCATGTAGTTCAACCCTCTGCGATGCAGGAATCAACGCTGAAAATAACATACAGCCTGGAGCTAGTATTTAGTCATTTCTTCTGATCACATTTTAATGGGAAATTGTGGTTGCAAAACTAGAATTTGCATATTAAATTGGAATTCTTGACCTCAAAATTCCCATCAGCCCACCATCAAAGAGGCAGGCAGTTTCCACTCAAGCCACTCTCTTATTTTGCTTGTTTTTAGTGTGAGTGTTGTAGGGCTGCTTGGAACTTCTTAGTAATCTGAAACTCATGAAGAAGTTGTCCCACACTCTGCATGGAATCACCCAAGGGAAGCTTCATATTTGCCCAAATGCATGAAAAACATATCACTTTCTAGGTGTTGCTGGATTCCAGCTCACATCATCCCCAGCTATTGGCCATGCTGGCTAGGGCTGGTGAATGCTGGAGTTGAACAGCACATGGAGGGACACAAGTGGTCCTTTCTACTACATAAGCAAGTGCATGTTCACAGTGTTTATTGCTGGCTTCATTTCCCACTCCCTGCCAGAAGGATCTATACTCCAGGTATCATTTATCCTGTGAATGCAGAGGTGAGGAGAACTCCACTAGATCCTGTCACAGCTCAAGATTCCAAGTGCCTCTGGCTCATTGATGGTTGGTAGTTGGAGACCCATTGTGGTGTAGTGGTTATAGTGTTGTACAAAGACCCTGGAGACCAGGGTTCAAATCCCCACTCAGCCGTGAAGCTCAGAGTGACATTGGGCCAATCAGCAACTTTCAGCCTAATCTACCTCAGGATTGTTGCAAGGATAAAATTAGGTGGGGGAACCATGTATGCCACCATGAGGTAGTGGAAGGAAATGTGAGGTTCATAATACAGTGAAATAAAGTCCCTTTACTGCCCTTATGAGGTTTGCCATTTAAAAAACAAACCAAACCTGTAGAGCTCAGTGCAGGCCCTGTTTTATTTTTTTATGCCTGTTCATATGCTTTTGCTTTAGGTGAAAATGTTGCCCACACCATCCAAATTTCATTACATCTTCAATCTGAGAGATCTTTCCAGAATTTGGCAAGGAATGTTAACTATAAAATCAGAAGAATGTACGGACCTCAGGACTCTCCTGTCGCTATTTAAACATGAATGCACGAGAGTAATTGCTGACAGGTATGATCATTATATTATTTGCTGAAGAATTACAGACACTGAGATGAAGTCATGCCAGTGTGACATTGTGTTCAGCCATCTTGATTCAGAATGGCTTACGGCACCCAAGCAGTGATGAAGCCTTTCACCCCCACCTGGGAACCCTTGTGCTGAGTTTGGTGACAATATCTCAAGAGGCTGCTGAACCTATAGAAGACGAATGGAGAAACAATTTCCCAAAATATATAGTAGATGTAATCCACAGCTGAGAGACACCCACACCCACATAAATCTTTAGCCATCTTTTCACTCTTCTACAGCGGAAACTTTCTATTCATCATACCTGAATTGTGTCTTCTAGATTTGTTTGTGAAGAAGATGAAGCGTGGTTTGAAAGAAACTTTTCTAGAGTTATTGAAGAACATGTCGATTCAGAACTGGTACCAATAATTGAAGAAGAACCATATCTTGTTGATTTTTTACGGGATATGCCTGAGCCAACTGGTGAAGAGCCTGAAGATTTTGTGTTTGAAGCACCAAAAATTTATGAATTGGTATTTATTTACTTAATTCCAAACCCTTCCTTTATTGGGTTCCAACAATAGCATGCTCAGATCTATAATGGATACCTATACAAGGACCAGCATGGGAACTCTCAGGCCCCAGGATCAAATGCAGAGTTACAACTGGATGAATCAGGGGGTGGGGTGAGGATGAGAAAGAGGTATTATGCTGCTTTTTTATTTGCCTGTAATGGAATGCAACAAGGGTGAGGAAGGAAGGCAGGGGCAACACTGGGACTTCCTGCACTCGGACTTTTTCCTCCTGCACCCACATAGGGCCAACAGATGCCAACTGCCCTGCTGAAATGAAGAAGATGTTGTGGGACACAGGCAAAGACAACGTCAGGGGCTGCTCCAGTCAGACTATTGCCCACCTGCCCCACTTAAACCAACTTACAACAGTTGCCCTGTAGGGAAGAATATGGGGACATGTTAGCTCCTTCCCTGTGAGGCTGGTTGTTTCATTTTTTAGCATGTGGTTCTGGGTGTTTTGGTTGCATTTCATAACAGGTTTTTAGCTGCTTTAAAGACTCTTGTTGAAAAGTGGGGTATAAGTCAAACTAAACAAACTGAGGTAGGTTGCCGTGTTGGTCTGCCGTAGCCAAAACAAAATAAAAAAATTCCTTCCAGTAGCACCTTAGAGACCAACTAAGTTTGTTATTGGTATGAGCTTTTTATGCATGCACACGAAAGCTCATACCAATAACAAACTTAGTTGGTCTCTAAGGTGCTACTGGAAGGAATTTTTTTATTAGATAAATTGAGTAAAACTGTTGCTCTATATGGTAGACAGCAGAATATTGTAGATCAGGATAGGCAAGGCACTGGGAGCCACATCAAAAACAGATCACAAACTTGCGGGTGACTGGTAGCTTTTCATATTCATTTGTGTTTGATTAAAACAATTCATAAACATTATTTTCATAAGTATGGCTATAGGAAGTTGAACCTATTGCAGCAGTTGTCTGCAGGAGCAGTTGCCAAAACCATTTGTGTGTTATTAGAAATGATCATACAAAAGAAGTAGAAAACTAAATCTAGAGGCAATCCACTGTTATATGCAGCTACTGCTTGGGCTAAATAGCCCGCCATTAGTGGAATAAACAACATAAACACTTCTCAGATACGGAACTGCCCACGAGTTAAGTCAATCCTGGGGAATACATATACCTACACCTCCCTAAAATTTGTTTTTGACAAATCCTATCTTGAGAAAAATAAGCTGATATCATATCATTTCTAGGATATAATCTGTGAACAGAATAAATAAATAAATAAAAATCTGTTTGTTAAACCCTTAAGGACACTTTTCAAAGACATATGATTTTCTTTTATTCATATTTTTAAAAATGCTTTTACATTAATTTATTGAAACTATTTTTTTAGGGGGAAAAGCTATCCTTATTTTCTTCTTTTTTAGATTCCATCTCTTGACTTCTTATCTGACAAACTGCAGTACTATCAGAAGCAGTATAACGAAGCTGTCAGAGGTGGATTCCTGGATTTGGTGTTTTTCAAAGATGCTATAACACATCTTGTTAAGGTCTAAATGCTTATTTAAAGTTATAGTCTTCATCTCATTTCCTGCACTGGTGGGAAGGGGGAGTCATGGCAGAGCAACTACCAGCTCACAGCCAGGAAAAAAGAAGGGAATTTTGGCTTTATTTTTCCCTTTTTGCCTGCCCCACTCGTTCCATTGATTCACTCCAGTGAGAAGGAATTTACTACTTGACAGCTAGGGCATGCTGGGAGAAAGGCAGTGGGGGGGGGCATAGAAAACTTCAGATCCATGGCTGCCAAAATTCCCATTTCTGGACCCATCACTGGTGGAGCAGCATTGGAGCATTTTGCCGCAACACCAGGAAGGTCTCCGGTTACACTAACGGAGGACCTTCCTTTTCAGCAGTGGGGCATAAGACTGCTCTCTTTGGAAGCAATCCTAAATATGGGGAGCCAGCAAAAATTATGCCATCTTAGATTAAGTCAGCATATTGTACCAGCATGAGTCAGCATATAGCATACATCATATAGCTACACCAGATCCAAACTCCATTCAGGAGCGGAACTACTGCTGGCAGTGGAGAAACAAACTTTAAAAATCCAATTTGTGTTACACCATCCCTTTGCCTGCATAACTTACACCAGGTTGCCAGCTCATGTGACTGAGCTGAATGGGTTTAGGATTCAGCCTAAATCCCCACCTTTGATCCTGTCCATGCTATTCCCCTGGAGCGCCCTTCATTCATGGCTTAAGAGCCACCAATTTCAGCTCAACTGTCCAAGCCCCAAGTGAGCTAGGAGGAGGGATTTGGGTCAGCATGCATGTGACCAAGTTGGGTCTTAAGGCAGAAACCAGCCAGGTGAGTTGGGGATCCACCACATCCTAACTTGCTCATCCCAGTTAGTTAGGACTGCACCCTTATTTTATCGAAACATTTATGAACTTCCTTTTATCAGTGTCTCGAGACATTTTTCAAAAGTTGAAAGCAACAAGTAAACAACAAGCAACACAAATAAAACAAGCAACAGTTTGAAGAATAATTTTATAGTCAGATAGTTTAAAGATAGTAAAATGGTTTTCAAAAGTCTGGGTGAATGGGGGAAAACGCTTTTGCAAGGAACTGAAAAGAAAACAAAGTTGTACTCAGCTTGTACTGCTCTGGAAAAGGGCACTCTGTAACTGGAAAAGCCTTGAAGATGAAAACTTCACCTTTGAAGGAGGTGGTATTTAAAGAAGGACATTGGCTGATTACCTCAAAAATGCAGTTGATGCTCCTTTTTAAAAACAAAACAAAACAAAAAAACCCCCACAGGAGCACTATACAAGAGAAAATTCTGTTGTCATTGGATATGTTTTTTTGCCAAAATTACATGCCATATTAAAATATGCTGCCATTGTGTAAGTAGTGTCTATGGTATTGGTGGAGAGGGATATGGAATCAAGAATATTGGGAAGATTCATTAAACTAGGCACCATTTGATGGCTCTTTTATAAAAGCTTATTACAAAAATATTTTTGGATAATTATTTAACTTTGATGACTTTGCATAACGAATTAAGTAGATCATCTCCCCCCCTTTTTTTTGTAATGCAGATTTCACGAATAATTCGTACAGCATGTGGAAATGCTTTACTTGTAGGAGTTGGTGGTTCTGGAAAACAGAGTCTTTCCAGGCTAGCCTCTTTTATAGCTGGATATAAAATATTTCAGATAACTTTAACACGGTGAGAAAAAATACATTTCAAATAAGTGGTTGATGATGTGCTGTTTTCCCTATATAATTAGAAGCTACTGTTTGTATATATACACCATTATATGAGAATATAGAAGATGAGATTCATGGCTAGATGGCCATCATAAAGATAGCTTGGCATATTCATGTGTACATGATGTCACTGATCCTATGGTCTATGACAGGCATGGCCAAACTTTGGCCTCCAGATGTTTTGGAACTACAATTCCCATCATCCCTGACCACGAGTTAGGTAGGGATGATGGGAGTTGTAGTCCCAAAACATCTAGAGGGCCAAGTTTGGCCATGCCTGGTATATGAGGATATAATGTAGACAATTTCGTTCTCAACAAAGTTCTATCAAAATTCATCAATTACTGAAGAGATTGATAATGTTGAAATAATGGTTTGGCTCCAGAAGTTCCCATACATGTGTTGGGGTTTCCACTTTACCTAGTTATGGCCCCTCCGTGCCCCATAATATGCCGCTCTAAAGCCAGTGCAGATGGTACAATCAGGGTGGCATGTTGGGAGGCGGGAATGTTTACAATTATGGCAGGGGGTGTTCTTGCTTTCCCCCATTCCTTCTTTTTTCTTATTTCAAAACACCTTTAAAGCCACTTTAGGCTTCCCTGCTCTGAGAGGAATGGCAAAGTCACTAGCTTTCAAAATTGTTTTGAACCAAAAAAAAAAAAAGGGGGGGGGAGAAAAATGGCAAGCACTCTGCTGCAGTTACTAGTCATTTTGAGGGTTGTTGAAGCTGAATTGTAGCCCTTGAAATGGCCACTCCCATTTGTCACTAGTGAATGAGGTGGCGGCCTGACAAATCTGGGTTAATTAAGAAACATGGGGGACACAAACTAGTAATTGTAGTCTCCCTTGATTCCGGCCAGAGGAATTTAAGGGTCTTGTGAAAGGTGGTTTTTTGATTTCTTAAAACGGCTTAAGTTGTTTGCTGTTTGCTTCATTTTGAAATGTGTGTTTAAAATACATTTTTAAGAAGTAGCATGCTCACTATGCAATACAGTGGTACCTCGGGTTAAGTACTTAATTTGTTCCGGAGGTCCGTTCTTAACCTGAAACTTTTCTTAACCTGAAGCACCACTTTAGCTAATGGGGCCTCCCGCTGCTGCCGCGCCACCGGAGCACGATTTCTGTTCTCATCCTGAAGCAAAGTTCTTAACCCGAGATACTATTTCTGGGTTAGCAGAGTCTGTAACCTGAAGCGTATGTAACCTGAAGCGTATGTAACCCAAGGTACCACTGTATATTTACACAAGGATGCCCCTCCTAAAAGGAGCAGTCTTTGCTCAGTTAGCTCTTGTTTCCCCTCTCTGCTGGCTTCAGTGATGTAGCCTACTTTTCCGAAGTTAGTGGGTGATGAATCAGTACTGCATGTTAAGCTTTCTGTCCTTTTCATTTTTGCTTCCTAGATCATACAATGTGAGCAATCTGACAGATGATCTAAAGCTTTTATACAGAGTTGCTGGTGCAGAAGGAAAAGGAATAACATTTATTTTCACAGATAACGAAATAAAAGATGAAGCGTTTCTGGAATTTCTTAATAACCTGCTTTCTTCTGGAGAGGTTAGCATTTCAGAGGCTTTTGCAGCTGTGTTGCTATGATGACTGTTAGATGTTTTGCTTGTCCTTCTATTTCAAAAGCTCAGGGTAGGTTTGACTGCAACTCACATCAGCTCCAACCAGCACGATCAGGTTGATAGTCAGGGATGCTGGAAGTCAACACCTGGGGGGTCCCACATGAGCTACTGCTAGCAGAGATGTAAATTTTGAAAAATATTTTTAAAAATTAAGTTACAATTCAGGGATCAATTTTAAATGAAATTATTAATTTATTTCTGGGATCATGCAGGTACTGGGCTGGGCATCAGCCCATGTCCCTTGACGAGGCAGGAGCAAAGAGACTTTTGGGAAGTGGGCTGAACCCACAACTAGTTTTCAGGGATAAACTTTAAATGGAATTATTATTTTGTTCACCGTTGATTTTCTTAGTAATTTATGGGGTGGGCAAGTAACCAGCCACAGACATTCAGAATCTTGGCACATTGGCCACTGTATTTCTTGGGGTCTATATTCTTGCATGTTTCCCATGGATTATATAAAAGTTGTGGAAATGTTATTATTTTTGTTGGAGTGAGAACTCTGGAATTTCAAGCACTGTATGCACAATGATGTGTTGTACGCACAGGTCCTATCTTTGACCCAACAACCAGATTTATGTGCACAAGGCCCTTTAAAAAAGAGCTAAAATCCTACAATCAGTTGCTCTGGAGAAGGAGCAGGGGGCTAGATTCAGTTTCCTCTCCCCTGCGCACCCTTGCTTGCCAAACAAAGGCTCCACATTCATGGTCCCAGCTGCTCTAAACATGGTCCATTGGATTAGAGTACATCTCTTCAAGTAAGGAAAGAAGATAGTCTTTGGCCTGCATAGCTAAAGGCTTAACTATTAGACAGTTTTGGAAAGGAAACATAGATCTGTAGTTTAT